TAGTAACTTTATGTATTTAAAAATTATATTACATCATAAGTCATAACTAATTCAAAATTACTAATTTATAATTAAGAATCTTATAAAAAAAAAAAACCCTCTTTTTATTTATTTTTTTATTCATAAAACTTAAATTTTATTATGATTTAAGAAATCCAAGCCGTTGATAACTTGTATGATAGAAAATGATCGGTACCTTTTCAAACTTCTCCAAACATCATTTTAGGATTTGAATATGAAACATTTGACTGTCTCCCAACTAATACTGTAATAGTGGATGGTGTATATTACTAGACTCCCGTGCTCGACAAACCATCGTTAAACAAACCAAGTTTTACAGCTCTAACAGAAATCACCATATCTGCCAACTCCAAACATCCAAGAAGTCAGGAAACACTAAACAATCAAAAGCCAAAACCCAGATTCAAATGCTATATCACAGCAATATTCATTTCATTCAAGAGTCTGCAGCATGACAAGCAGGAATAAAAAAGAAAAAAACAATTTAGAGCGATACCCTGTAGAACAATATATAGTCTGCTTCTTCCATTCAGAATTTCCTCTTAACAATAAGGAGAATGTGTCCAGATTCCACTTGAAACGAACAAAGAGTTTCAGATTATACAACAACAAACTAGTTCTGCCTGTAAGCAATATAATTAGCTAAAGCAATCAAAGGCGCCGCCTTGTCCATATCAAAACCTTGGAGTTGCTCCACTGCATGCTTCTTCAGCTTCTCTGCAAGCTCTTTGGACTTCTCTATCCCCATCAGCTTTGGATATGTAGCCTTATCCGATACCAAATCCTTGCCGGCGGTCTTCCCCAATTCTTGTGATGACTTTGTCACATCTAGAATATCATCCACCACCTGAAACAAAAGCCCAATGTTCCTGGCAAACGTTCTCAACTTTTCCACCTCCTCATCCGACCCACCTCCCAGAATCGCCCCAAGAACCACCGAGCTTTCAAGCAAGACTGCGGTTTTATGTATGTGTATGAACTCTAGATGATCCAAACCCACATCTGCAAGCCCCTCACTGCTTATGTCCACAACTTGACCAGCCACCAGCCCTTCCGTTCCAATTGATTTCGCTAATTCCCCTACAGCACGCACAATTCGTTCCGGCGTGACACCAATAGTGGATGCTGACATGTGCTCGAATGCAAAAGAGAGAAGCGCGTCTCCGGCCAAGACAGCGATATCCTCGCCAAAGACTTTGTGATTTGTGGGTTTTCCTCTGCGAAGATCATCGTTATCCATACAGGGGAGGTCGTCGTGGATTAGCGACATGGTATGGATCATCTCGACGGCACAAGCAGCCGGCATGGCCGCGGATTCCTGCCCGCCGACGAGCTCACACGCCGCTAGACAGAGCACCGGTCTCACGCGCTTCCCCCCAGCCAAGAGCGAGTAGCGCATTGCTTCGT